CCCTGAGATGTGTGCAAACCTTGTGGCCAACTACAAGAAACGTCTGACCTCTGTGATTGCCAACAAAGGTTTTGCCACCAAGTACTAAAGCACGTTTTGCAAAGGGATCAAATATTTATTTCATTCATGAAAATGCAAATTACTTTATAATTTTTTTTGTAATGCATTTTTCTGGATTTTTTGTTATTGTTGTGACTCTCACTGTTCACATAAACCTACCATTGACATTGTAGACTGATCATTTCTTTGTTAGTGGGCAAACTTACAAAATCAGCGAGGGTTCAAATAATTTTTTCCCTGACTGCAATTTCCTAGCTCCTAGATAGTTTTACTTACATATTTCCTTACTGGTTAGTGGACGTCAGGTCTGGACTGAGCAGCCTTTTGCATAGTTGTTTAGTTTAAAGAGTTTTCCTAGCTGCTTTTAGGCTCACTGAAACCACTCATTATCTTCTATTCCCGTCTTCGTGTCGCAGCCATCCAGGCCCTGCGCTCCGTCCTGAACTCTTTTTGTGTGGGCAACAGGAAGAACATGTTTGTCTACCAGGAGCGTACAACAAAGTCAGTCTTCTACCTCAGGTTAGATTCCATCTTCATTTCTTCACTGGAATTCAGTCTTTTTCTGCTGGGGTTCACATTTTCTTCATGGTGTTTTCCAGCATTTTCACCCTCATGCTATCCTTTACATGTAAGGGCTTTAGAAGGAGTGAGACACTGCTCACCTCAGAGTGCGGCTCAGGTTTGGGGAGATATTTCAATCAGTCTGCTGGAAGGAAAAATCCACTCACAGGCAGCATTCTAGTAGGAAGGATATCAAACAAGTCATTTCAAGATGCCTCAAGCCAGGTGGTGGGGTGTTGTCACCACACTGTTAAGTATGAGTTGGAAGAAGCAGAGCAGTGTCCCCACAGTCCCTGCTTATAGAGCTCACTTATCATTTGACAGCCACAACAGGACTGGTCTCGGAGTGAGTCATCTTGGGAGTAAACTGAAGAAAGAGTACAGATAGGAAGACATGTGGCTGTAAAGATGTACCACAGCTACTCCTGTGGCAGTGTCTGCTCCTACTGCACTTTTAATAGAAGTGTATCTGTTTTATTTCTTCATTTTGGTTTACATGAAATCCGTATTAGCTTTGTAGTCAAGGTAGCAGATTCATCATTTGCTATAATTAAAATATTATGGATATAAAGTTAAGGAAAGGAAACCGAGATCCTTCTGTTCAAACAGCCACTCTAAAGTTGTTGTCCACATATGGAGGTTGTTGTTGCGGAATTGTGTTATAAAAACTAAATGTGGTGTGTTACTTTATGCATCTATAGCCAGATATTGATGCTGAATTGATCTCTACTGGTTTCAGCATCTGAACTCTGGTCTGCTCCGTCCTGCTAAAGGCTCCTGTTGTTTATGGCACAGTTTTTATTTGTTTTTGCTGTAATGTGTTATTTTGTTCTATTACTCTCAGAATAGGTTGCTTCCTGGCTGTAAACATTACAGCTTTGACTTTAAACACCAGTTTTCCTTGTGTAAATCGATCAGGTGCGCGTTTCAAAATATGAGTGGGCAGTTTTTAAACCCTGATTGTTTTTGAAACACCCTATGCTTGTATACAGCAGATATGAAGCTACTATTCTTTGTCTTGCTGATGTAAATGGTAGAAACCTGCATTATTTTCAAAGTACATGGCTGTTACAGCTCCATACCTAGTTCTGCACCTGTTTCTTGTGTTCATCTTTCCAGACTCTGTGAAACGACTCTGACAGGGAATTATTCTGACATGGATAGAAACCCTCACATGACCCACTCCATTGGGCTGATCAGGAGTCAAGAGCCCTTGTTGTCCGAGGTCCTTATGGTAAGTGAACACATGCCATGTATACTAGACCCATTTTGACTGAAAATGATATTATAATTAATGATGGCATGTGAAATTTGGTTTGGAGTGGAGTTGACTTGGACTCCTGGAGGCTCTACTTGACTTGGAACTTATAAAAACTAGCTAAGGAGACTTGAACTTAATTTAGGTTAGGTTAATTTTATTTTACTTTAATAGGTACTGATTATCAGTCTGCATAGAGTTTGACACACAATTTAATAATTCCTTTGTGTCTTTTGTTAATGTCTGTTGTCTCGTCTTCTGTGTTATGGCCTTTGTCCTGTAAACGTGTTATTTCATGTTACAATAAAAAAAAGGTAGTTTGTGCTGAGCTCTGATGGAGAATCAGTAACCTGAGTAGTGGCTCACAGATCCTTCCATCAACCTGCTAACGAGCTGTGCAGCGGACTCTGGGTTCACTTCTGCAGCGGTTATCGATGCAAAAAGCTGTTGTACTATTACATGTTCACTCCAGCAGCTATAACATTGAATAGTTTCTAAGTTGCAATTATACAGTATGCATTGCTGCCATTTCACTATAAATTAGAAAAAAAAACTCATTGCTGAATGAATTTTAGACTTCACACTGTCAATCACACATCAGCGGAGACTTCCAGGTGCAGCAGTGTCATTCTTTAAGATGAAACAGCCAGTGGTGCACACCCAGCATCTGAACCAGGAGAAAATGACTATCAGATTTAGATAAACAGCATAGAATTGTCACAAATTATTCTAAATTGCTTCTAAGAATCCAAATGTACAGAGTGAGCACCGATTAAGATACAAATTCATTTTCCTGTACCTCTGAAACATGACCCAGGTGATTTACAGTATAATGATCTGTTCATGAGGACCTTATTGAAACAGGCTTTTAGCACCTTTAACATCATTCTTGCTGTTACAGTAAATGTAGTAGCTTCCCAGGGTTATCTTTAGACAAAGAGGAGGATTCACTGGGAAGGTTACAGAAAGTTTTAGTTCGATGACTGTAACTCTATCCCCTGTACTTCTTTGCAGCTTATCAGGTGCACTGAAGTGGGGATTATAGTGAGCTCTGCGTTTTACAGCATGTAGTCGATAAGGCAGCAAACCATAGCATTTTCACCTGCAGCCCTTCCAGGTTCATTCTAGCCAGGGTGATGGACAGTTTTGGAAGTACTTCCAGAAAGCAACAGAAGGATCTCTCAGCATACATCTTCCATATTTCCAGCCATCCTGCACCTCTGGAGCAGTCAGGAATTGGGTCACTGCATAAATGTTAACATGAAATGCAGTCTATAGAATAGAATTTTCCTGCATCCAGAGGCAGAGAGACATAAACAGATGTCACACAGATTGACTCTTCTGATCTCTAGTTAAGTAGAGCAGTTACTTAGTAAATCAGCAAGGCTGGGAGAAGGGGTTTAGTATGAATCAGTTTGACTGTAAGATCCCATTTGTGGGTTACATGAAGATGCCAATATTCCTGATCTGGATTAGTGGTGAAGTCAGACTGATGGTGCCAGATTGTTGAGATGTTTGGTCTCTGTTTCCGCAGGGTTCCAGGTCTTCTGTGGAGGGCTCTCGTCCTGTTGGACAAGTAGACAAACACATCCTGCTGCTGGTGCATGGAGTGGGAAGTGCAGGTAAGAGCTGGGACATATCAAGGACTGAGAATGGTTTCAAATTTAGCCAAGGGTTGTGGTGTAGTAATAACAAATCCAAGGAAGACCAAGTTTTTCACAGGCTTCCACTTTGTGCCTCGCAGTAGGCAGCTTCACCTCGAGTTTCTGTGTGTGCTATGAGCAGTAAATAATCAAAGAATCAAGGGGAAGTCCATTAATAGATTTATAGACAAGTACCAGTTTTTTAAAATCTGTCCCAAGACCAACTAGAAGCCAGTGACATGCCTATGGGGCTGCTGGTTTTTTTTGTTCCAGTTCAAACTCTGGCAGCAGCATTCTGACCAAACCTGTACTGATTTACAAACTTTCTGAGGAGCCCTGAAAGCTGTAAAGTGCTTGGCAGTAATAAAAGCACAAGACATTTCTCTGTATCTAGAGAAGAAAGAAGAGGCCTAAAATGCTGTTTTAGTTTTGTTAGATCAGAATCGATGTGGGTTTCCATCCACATATAGTACAAATTTTATCCCAAATTTGTAAAAATGAGCCAATTTTTTGGAGCCAATCCCAGCCAGCAATCGGGCGAAGGCGGGGTACACCCTGGACAGGTCGCCAATCCATCGCAGGGCTATGTGCTCAGTCATACAGATTTTTTTTCTTTACAATCACCGTTACACAACTGCTTCTACGGCTATAGTTTCTTTATTAATTACTGAGGGGGAAATTGGTGTGTTGGCAGTAGTAAATGAAATAGAATTATGAAGATGAAATATTTGCCCTAGTTCTTTGTGATTATTCACAATCTCCATCTGTGGTAGATTGCCTAGGCCCTGCTCTCTTAGGCTGTAGATGGAGAAAGAAGAGTGAGGCAGATCATGCATAAATGACGGAGCGGTTCTCAGTAACTCTCCAAATGCCTTCAGCTAACCGTGTTGCTTATGCTGTCATGGGTTGAGGCGTTTTGGAGCTGGATGGCAGTCAACACAAATGAAGGCCTGAAGCAGCGCTCTGTGGATTGAGCTGGCGACTGATGCTGCTCGGCTGCACTGACAGCATGGTGGTGAGGGGGTGGGAAGCAGCCAGCTTGGAGACAGTTTTGCCAACATCCTCCGCTGCACCTATGCTTTTAGTGAATGTGACATGGTCTACTGGCAGACCAGGGATTTGTCACCTACTTGTCCAAACTTCTTTTGTGAAAAGAGTCATGCAAAGCAGGGCTGTGAGTACTAAATTAGATGCAAATATGATACAGTAGTATGCAGTTTGTCATTTTCAGTTACTGTATGTGTCAGATGAACCTGAAATAACACACAACATGCACACGTCACATGGTCTGTACACTATGTTGTGGAGACAAAGGTTCATCTTTGTTTTTACTCGGTGCTCAAATCTTATAGCTCATTTTCAGCCTCATCCTTTCTACTTGACTGAGCTGAAACTGTTTAAATTTACTTATTCGTTCTAGAGTTATCAACCAAGGTGGTTAATAAAACTAGGCTTTTTAAAATCCAAGTGAAGGCTTGGATCGATCCAAACTGCATGCGTGCTCCAGTCTAGACTGGAGCACGCATCACTTATTACCACAGCTCGCCTGAGACTAGGCTTTTGAAACAAGGCTGACATCAGTGTTTGACAGTTTGGAGGATGAGACTGTCCGTCTCTCACAGATCACTGTGTCATCCCATCACAGATATGTACTGTAGTTTCAAGTCTCAGTAATTACTTACAGCTACTGGACAAAAAATCCAGCAGATTTTATGCTTTCACACAAGTACATCAACATTTGTGGTGATTGAATTCAGTTTTATTTGTATAGTAAAAAATCACAACTAAAGTCGTCTCAGGACACTTTACAATGTCAGGTCTAGAACTTACAATTATTATTATTATTATATTGAAAAACCCAACAAATCCCCCTTGAGCAAGCACTTGGCGACAGCAGAGAGGAAAAACTCCCTTTAATGGAAGAAACCTCCGACAGACCCCGGCTCTTGGTGGGTGGCCTTCTGCCTCGACCGGTTGGGGTGAATGGATAGAGGAGAGAAAAGAAAAGAAACGAGACACAACAAACAATCAAACACTGGTCAGGTTCATGTGGCCGGTGACTGCTCATCGGAAACGTAGAGCTCCAGAGCCAGGGCAGTTAGTGACATCTGATGGTGGTATATAGATGGATATAGGGAAAGGAGAGAAACTCAGAGCATCATGGGGCCCCCCAGCAGCCTAGGCCTATAGCAGCATAGCTAAGGGAAGGCTCAGGATCACCTGATCCAGCCCCAACTATAAGCTTTATCAAAAAGGAAAGTCTTAAGTCTAATGTTAAAGGTAGAGAGGGCATCTGCCTCCTGAACTGAGACTGGGAGCTGGTGCCATAGGAGAGGAGCTTGATAGCTAAAGGCTCTGCCTCCCATTCTACTTCTGTGGACTCTAGGAACCACAAGTAGACCTGCACTCTGAGAGCGAAGTGCTCTGTTGGGATGATAAGGCTCTATGAGGTCTTTAAGATACAATGGAGCCTTGTCATTAAGGGCTTTGTATGTATATATGTAAGGGCGATTGACTTGTGGTATCTTCACTGACCTTAGAGGAAATGTCTGCTTTATTGCAATTTGGGTCTTATGTTGTAGTTTGCAAAAAATGTATTTGTATGTTAACTTAGTATCATCTGCATAGCAATCGAAATTTAAGTTTTTCCTGATAATATTGATAATATAGCTCATGTCTGGAAAATGGTGTTGCTTATTGTGGGGCTCTAAAGATTTATGACAGGACAGGCTGACACCGACTCTTTGGGGCCAAATAATAGGTAAACATCATTTAACTGTCCCATTCTTTGGCACATTTAATTGTGTTTTCTTGACTGTGTGTAGTTTTAGTTTAGGTATATGATGTGCTGTCAAGTGTCTTAGGTTTTGTCATATTGTGGATCATTTATTACTTTTATTTGTGTTGCTGTATTGAAATGAATCTCATGTTTGGATCTTCAATAAAAGAGGTTGAATACTAGTGGTGTAAATATTTACTGCAGCAGGATGCCATTCCTCCTGTGGCCATCTTGATGGCACTGTTGTTCTGGGAACATTTCCCTATTTTGGACAGGCTGGGATTACATCAGTGGCTTTTCAGAATCATGACTCCTTAAAGTCCTCCCTCTGCTCCTTCTACTCACTGTACTTTGAACTCACCATCTTAATTTTGCAACATCACTGGATAGCTATATTAACACCTTCCTGTGTGTGTGTGGGGTGGGGGGTGGGGGTTTTTAGGAAAACCTGCAAGTTGTATTTTGTTAGCAGAGGAAAATATTGAAGTTAGAATACACAGTAGTAAATATTTTAACCCCCATTAACAGATCATTTATGTAAACAGTTCCCAAATAATTCCTTCCACTTTACAACATGGTGGTAAGCACAGTTGAAAATTTCTTAACACAGTATTCATAATTGAGCATAAAAGTGGGTGTTTCACAAGCTGACTGATGATCCACTGGGCACATTGAGGCCTGTGATCACTCAAATTTGAATCATATTTGCATAGCAAACATTTGTGTGAGGGTGATACAGGGCCATTCTTTCATTTTTTGTTCAGGTCCAGAGATCACAGACGAGCTGGTGAAGGTGCTGCGGAAACGCCTGGATGAGACCACACTGGACATCATCACTGTCATGCTTGTCAGGAACTGCAAGCTGACACCAGCAGATGTGGAGGTAAAAAACTGAGCTTTTTGCTTTTGAGTCAGATTTTTAGAGAAGACATTAGGAGGAAAGCATTTTTAAATTGAAATAAAAAAAAAAATCATGCATAGTTCAGTGAGTTAATTTCTTAAATAACCAGACTTGCAGCTGTTATTTGCACTGGGGCATCCAAGAAATACACACATGCATTCATGGCACTGAAATTGACTCTGGATAAAAGCCTTCACAGTTGTTGTTTGGCTAGTTCATCCAGCCATCAGGATCACCAGCCACTGAAGTGATGAGCTTCAGTCTCCCCCAGTACTGTCTTTCCTGGCTGCCTGCTGTGGCTCACTACCTCAGGCAGAACCTCCTCATCTTTCTGCATGTACCCAAGTACACGGACAGCAACACAGCGCACCACTTCAAGGTACATCAATCCAGACTGACTTTTGTGGGTGAAGTGTATAGACTGTATAAAAAGGTGGAAGACATGCCACCACTTCCTGCCACTATGCAAAATGCTCTCAATACAGGGGCAGTTGCCTTTGGGATACATTTTGCCACCAGCATCTGCGTATTAGCAGCCAGAGGTGGGGTATGAGGCCATCAATCAAAGCTGTCATCCGAGATACACGGATTTTTATATAAAAAAAAAAAAAAAACTTAACAGAAGAAGGGACCACTTGTACTCAAATCAGTGTGATAATATCTACTGAAAAGGACAGAAATCATGTTTGCAAAAAATGTATTTGATTTGTCCTTTTGATTTTTTTATTTTGGGTCATGTCCCATCCACTAACATGGAGGGGGTGGAGTTTATGACCTATACTGTAACCAGCCACCGGGAGGTGATCGAGTTTTGGTGGCTTCACCTTTGGGAGCTGTCAGCCGCTCCGTTGTTTCTACAGTCAG